TTGCAATGATATGGATGGAACTAGAGAGTATTATGCTAAGCAAAATAAGTCAGAGAAAGACAAATGCCATATAATTTCACTCCTATGTAGAGTTTCTTAAAATTTTAAACAAAAAGTTTGAACACTTCTTTGGAAAAAAATTATAATAATTCACAAGTATGTAAAATCTACAGGATGTAAACTCTGTGAGAGCAGAGACTGTCTTATTTATTTATGCAAAATCAGCATTTAATATATCTTATTTATGTAAAATTAGCATTTGACAAATCTAAATAAGTGAAATATATAATACTGTGAAAATTCTGTACCCGACACGATTCCACTTCTTTAATTTGTTAATTTTAGAAGCTCACACTAATAGGTGCACTTATGTTGAACTATTTCTTCATTCCTAGCTTTAACCTTGTTTGGTACTGATGTGTAGCCTTTTAATACAATATTGAATTCTGGTACCTACTGTCACTAGAATTTAAGTACATCTCTGGTCATAAAGTGGTTGGTTTAGTTCTCATTACCTCTCCACTGTTTTTGCCTGCTTCGACATTTTTTAAAGGAGTGGGAAACATTTTATCTTTTTTTTTTTTTTTTTTTTGCGCTCTGGGGTAATTTATATCTGCTACTTGAAGGTTTGGAAGATTTTCCATTAAACTCATCTGAACTTAGTACTTCTTTTTTAGGTACAGCTGTTCAATTTCTGTCTCTTGTAGAATCGAATTTAATAACTTATGTTTTTTTAAGAGACATAAGTTTTTATCTAGATATCAAATGTATTATTGTTTTAAAGATGTGTATACTACTGTTTGGTTTATAGTATTATGTTTATTGTATATTTTTAAATCTTCACATTTTTAGTTGTGTCATTATTCTCATTCTTTTTTTTTTTTTTAAAGATTTTATTTATTTATTTGAGAGAGAGAATGAGATAGAGAGAGCATGAGGGGGGGAGGGTCAGAGGGAGAAGCAGACTCCCTGCCGAGCAGGGAGCCCGATGCGGGACTCAATCCCGGGACTCCAGGATCATGACCTGAGCCGAAGGCAGTCGCTTAACCGACTGAGCCACCCAGGCGCCCTCATTATTCTCATTCTTAACACTGATTACATCTTAACAAAACCCTTCACTTAAAAACACAAATTTTCCGGGCGCCTGGGTGGCTCAGATGGTTAAGCGTCTGCCTTCGGCTCAGGTCATGATCCCAGGGTCCTGGGATCGAGTCCCACATCGGGCTCTCTGCTCCTTGGGACCCTGCTTCTCTCTCTGCCTCTCTCTCTCTGTCTCTCATGAATAAATAAATAAAAATCTTTAAAAAAAAAAAACAACACAAATATTCCAAGGTTTGTTTGTTTTATTGGGCTTAAAAAAATTTTTTTTTTATTTGAGTATAGTTGACACGCAATGTTACCTTAGTTTCAGGTGTACAACATGGTGATTCAGCATCTCTCTATGTTATGCTGGGCTCACATCAAGTGTAGCCACTATCGGCCACCATATGACACTGTTAGAGTATCACTGGTTATATTATTGGGCTTTTCAAAGAAATGGGTTTCTCTTTCATTGATCAAGCCTGTTGTTTTCTAGTTTTCTAATTAATTAATTTCTGCTATTAACTACATTAATCACATCTATTTTCTTTGGGTCTCTTTGTTTTTTTGGTATTCTCTAGCTTTAGTTTATTGGTTGTTTTATTTTTTTCAGTCATTCTTATATTACAATTAATGAATGTAATTAATGATCTATATTTCCCTGACAGTAAAGCTCTGACCATTTTCCATTGCTTTAAAATTTATGCTGTATGTCACTGTCATTTTTAAGTAATTTAAACATTTTTGGTTTTCTTTATTTTTTTAAAGAAATTTTCCACAAAAATAGATTTTCTTTCCTTGTTCCTCCTTTTCTCATTCTCACCCTTTAACTGCTTGTCTTCCTTCATTATTTTATTCCTGTTATCATTGAACTTAAGACCCTATTGACTAGAAGAAGCATTACTTGATGTACTAGTAAGAGAAAAAAAATGCACTCAATTAAACTGTGGTTTAGTACTTTCTTATCGTTCAGAGTTTTTACTTTATGCCCACTGAAGGAGCCCTACAGATTTTAATTCTGGCACTTTTTATAGAATCTTACCTGAAGTTTTTAATAAATGATGGTTTCCAGATAACAATTACATCTCATTCTTCCATCTTTTTTCCTCAGATGGTCCTTACATTGTTCACTGATGACCCATGCCATCAGAGTAATAAAAATAGAAAGTTTGCTCAAACGCAGGTGATACCAACTACATTCCAAATACTGCCTGGGAAAGAGCAAATTCAAGCTGTCATTCCAATGTCAGAGAAAAAAAGAATTGTATATCTTAGAGTGGATGAAATATACTACATTTTGATTTTAATTTTATTTTAGTTGTGGTGAGAGGATGTAATATCACTTCTGCTGTCTAACTTTTAAGGCTTTATCTGTGTCTAATACATTGTCAAGTTTTGTGAATACGCCATTTGTGCTTAAAAAGCATGTGTAGCATGAGTTGAATGGGCACAAAAGGAAACATGCTTTTTAATTGTATTATTCATATCCTTTATAACCTTCCCTTTTTTTTTTGCCAATTCCATTTGTTGACTTTTGAAATAAGTAAGCTAAGTACCTCAAGATTTGTGAAATTAATAGTTTCTTCTTTTATTTTTACCAATTTTTGCTATATATTGATATGCCATGTTGTTAGGTTTGTTAATGTTCAATACATTTTCCTTGAATTCTGTTATGTCTAATATTTACATTGATATGATTCCTTTACCGGTATGAATAACAAAATATAAATAACATAAATATATAGTATAAAATACATTATTTGTCATTTTCATATTTTTTGTTGTTTATCATTTTTAGTTTGTATCTTGGAAACAGTGTAAATTGGATTTTCTTTTGTAAACTGAGATTTTACATTTTTATTAAGAATTGTAACATATCATAGATATATAATTACTGATAAAATTGGATATACTTTCTGTTGTTTTATTTGTTGTGTGTGAAGTGATGAACAAATGTGGTACAGTTCTTCCTCTGTGAATTTTATTATATAATGGGCAATATCTTAAATAATAGCTCATTTTTGTTTATCATGTTATAGGTGAAAAGTATGTTCTGTTGTACTATTTTATCTGTTCTTCAAAAATCTTTAAGGGAGGTGTTAGCCCTATTCAAAAGGACAGAAAAATTAACATGGAGTTACATGGCAATTTGGGGACTAGAATTCATTCCTCAGTTTGGTAAATGCAGTCACTCAGGAAAAACTCCATGGCACTCATAATTATATTTTAGCGTCATTTTTAATGAGCTATACTATATATAAAACTATTTCCACCTTTCTTCAGTTCTTCTCTGTGTTGACGTTTTGCCTGGACCGAAGAGGCAATAATTTCCAAATCAAACATAGTTTCTGTCCTCAGAGAGTTTGACTTTCATTTGGAAGCTCAACACCTTGGGTGTGGTCTAAGATAAAGGCAGTAGTGTCTTAGAAGGAATCTAAAAGCATTTCTTCAATCCTATTATCTTTCCCTTTTCCCTTCAATTGGCTAACTTCTTTCATTCTCTACTCATGTCTGACTTCTTCCAGAGGCTTTTCCACCGTCTCTACACCACAGTACGTTCCCCCTGATATGCCCTCAAACATTGCCCAGTACTGTTCCTAAAATAATATACAAAATAGTGTACTATAATTATTGGTATATCTGTTTTTTGGTTGTTGTTTTTTTTTTTTCCCTACTTGAAACGGTTTCATTTAGTTCTGTGTCCTTAGCGACTAGTGTAGTAACTGGAACACAATAACGGCTTAAGAAGCACATGATGAATAATGAATGAATGCTAAATTTTGTTCTGTATCCTCAGCAATACCACCCGGCATGCAATAAAAGCTCAATAAAGGAGTCCGAACTGTTGTCACCATGGCTATAGCAAGATTCTTGAATATAGCATAAAACTAAATTCTTCAATAATTAAAGCCTGATAATGGGGCATAAATACTCATGTTCAGTAGCTTTTCCAGAATGATAAAACATTTCATTGTTATAAATCTTATAGTATCCTCTAATAAGAGAAGAAAAATTGGAATAGCAACTCTACATGTTTTTTGAATGTCTATATAATTCATAATATAAGCAGAATAAGCATTAAGAAGAAAATAAATACAATTGTGGGCAAATTGAGCTTGAGATAATTAAAAGAATAACAGCATAAGATATATTTAGAGATCTTCCTTTTTAGTTATATATTGTGATGAGCACAGGGTGTTGTATGTAAGTGTTGAATCACTAAATTGTATACCTGAAACTACATTACACTGTATGTTAACTAACTGGAATTTAAATAAAAACCTAATAAATAAAACCTGTATCTGGATAATAGTCATCCTAATTTATAATTTTGAAAGTATTTCTATTAATTTATAAAGTATATTTTGCCAAATACATTCAGGAGTTCTGGAAACTTATTAAATTATTTTTTATAGTTATGAGAAATTTAAATAAATCCAATGATTAACTTTTCTACAATGATATATTTGTAGTATTTTCATCTCATATAAAAAAATAATCATAACTTGCATTTGCACTTTGAAAAATACAAGATAATTGCAGTTTAATTGGTTTAGTGTGTGTATGTGTGTGTGTTGGTTTAGTTTTTTTTAAGTTATGGTACATATATTTATAGTTAAGTTATTTTTTAAATATATTTTCAGTGATTAGGAAATTAGGCACTTAAAAATCATGGACATGAATTCCTTCTAATACACAGATATGTTTAATATAAAACAGCATAGAGATAAAGATAATGCTTCAGTTGTGGTTAAAAATGATAGGGCGGAGAAGCATTCAACTAAATACACTAAAAAATCCACCCACTTGTCTTATATTTGCTTTGTTCAGAAGGCAATGGTGACTTTGAAGTAGAAAAATATTGATTCATCATGTTATAGCCAGAGGGATGTTAATACATTTTCCCTTTTTTCTTCTAGCACACTGATTTATGTCAGTACATGGACAAGCACCCTGGGGGGCTGCATCCAGATAATGTGAAGGTAGGAAAAGATCTTTTTAAGCTGAGGGTTAGCATTCTTCATGTGTATTTTTTTAGTCGAAGTCTAATCTCTCTACCATAACTTAAAAAAAAAAAATGTTGTGTAAAGAGAGTGATATTGAAATGAACCATGGTTATTGCTTTGTTTAGTGATTGGAAACTGTGTTTAAATATTAAGTATTTTCACTGGAATATTATTGTTTAGAACTTATTCTATTTTTGTTTCATGGAGAAACAATTTGCTAATAATAAGTGAGATCCACTGGAATACTACTGTAACACTGTTTTTAAGAAAAGAGAGTCTCGGGTAGCTCTACCTTGGACCTTCATACTAAAGTGCCACTAAGTTTTAATATAAAATATTATGATCCAAAACAATATTATAGTGAGTTCTCAGTGTATATTTTTTCATTTGTATGTACAAACAGATAAAAATAGTTTCCTACTGCTCTCTTTCACTTCTTTTACTACAAATTGGATTACTATGTGTCAAAAGAACTAAGTTTTTCTAAGATTTGACCCAGCAGCCATCTTGGAAATTGTCTCAAAATTTCACACTTCGAACAGGAGACTCTTTCTTAACATATGTGAGCAAGTCAGAAGATACCAGAGTTATATCTGAAAGTTTAAGGATGTGCTCACATTTTATAATTCAAATGACTACATTCATGATCCTGAGAATCAACTGAGTACTGTGGATGTATGTGAAGTAGAATTGTGCCCATTTCTTCCCATTCATTATCTATCTACACCACTCTCTCCAAGAGACACCTTCTTTCTTTTGTACCTTTCCCTTTGCTTGTAAAGGTGTATGTGCTCATATGCTATTTTGTGTGTGTTTATTTTGCTCTATAAAATCAATATATATTATTGTATGGCATTTAAAAAAATATCATGGCTATCCTTTAAAATCAATACATGACTGTGTAGTTTAATTTTCCTAATAACTGCATATGAGTCCATAGTATGAATGAACTGTAATTTTCAACTGTTTTCTTATTCATGGATCTTATGTTGTTTCTAGAATGTTGTTATTCTAAATTATTCTAGAGTAAATAGTAGTTTAAAACCTTTACATTCTTACTTCTTTTGTATATCAGTTAATGGATTTTCTTTATTAAGAGACATAACTTCAGTTTTAATGAATTTGACTGGAACATTTGCCCATGAGGTTTTGAATTCTAGAAGGACTATTTTCCTCTACTTTCACAAGCATTGACTATAACCAATCATTTTAATTTTTGCCATTCTGATGAGCAAAAATGGAATATCTTTTATGTTAGTGTTTCCTTGACTGCTAGTAATACTAGTATCTTTTTCACATGTTTCTTGACCATTTGTAATTATTTTGCCTGTTCTTATATATTGTCCATTTTTCTATTATTTATTTTCTTATTTTTAATAAGTTGCAGATGCTTATTAATATTTGTGGCATTAATAATGAGGATTGTCATGATGGCCAGTTATGTTGTATAATTTTAAAATGCATGAACTTGTAACAGCTCTGAAAAAACATTGTTTAGATAAGTAATAGTATCAATATGTTTCATATAGCTCTTTTTTTGTTGTGCACTTTTTCTTTTGTTTTATTCATAGATATCTTTTAAATTTTTTGACTATTCATTTTTCTTCAAAATCAGTATCCATTGACATAGACAGTTTTTTTAGTAGTTAGATTGGGGAAGAAATTTTGACAGATGGTTAAGATGTGCTTTATTAATCCTGCCATTTTTAAGTCCAACTCCAAACATTAATATCATAACATGAGCATAATTTTTTCTTTTTTTTCCTAAACATTAAAACATTTCAAGTTGTCTCATTTACACATTAAATGTTCTCTTCTTAGGGTTGATTGGGTTCAAAACCAACAGTACGGTACATCCATACTCCTGTTTCCTACCTTAATCCTAGGGATCTGTGGAGAACCCAGGGGGAGCCCAGGGGTCTGTTAGCCTCACTGGACATCAGCAGCTACTCTGAGCAAACTTTTATTTCCTGACTTCCAAGTTCAGTGACAGGATTGAGATTAAAGACCTGACTGAACCTTTTCAAAGAGTGGCTCAGTTGCTTAAGCATCCAACTCTTGATTTCAGCTCAGGTCATGATCTCAGGGTTGTGAGACTGGGCCCCGCATCAGGTTCCGTGCTCGGCACAGAGTCTGCTTGAGGCTCTCTCCCTCTCTTCCTCTCTTCCTCTCTTCCTCTGCCCCTCCCCCTGTTCTCACACTATTGCACTAAATAAATAAATAAATAAATAAATAAATAAATAATCTTAAGGAAAAAAAGGAGCCATGGCATCACTGGATTTTTATTGTCCTTGCTTGGTTTTCTCACCAGCCTCTGTGTGTCATTAGTTGTGGGCAAGTATTGGTGGAAAATTTTGTTCGTGAAACAAAGAAAAGAGCTTTTTCCACAAAGCATCGTTGTGTCAGGCCACTGTCAGGCCACTGTCACTGATGATTTTTGTGGAACTTTTAAGTTCTGCTTCTTCCGTGCCATTTTCTTTTTCTTTTATCTTCTCGTGGTTATGAGGAGATTGATCTCTGTATTGTGGTTTTTCAGGAACTAGTCTGTACTTCCTCGAAATCATGTTTCAGTAGCTCTTCCCCAAGTTTTGCAAGTTTTTCTCTCACTCCATGGTCCTCCATTGTACTTCAGATACCTAGTGTTTGCTCCCTGTTCCCAGCCCTTGTAGTGCTGTGGCAGTGAACGTGGTTTCTAGTTAGTGTCACCTAAGGTGTGGTGAGAAACTTAATGGTGAATGTGTTCTTCAGCGTAGAAATAATGTCAAAAATTAGATGCAACACCCACGGTGAGTCTGGATATTAGTCATATAGAGCAGGAATTATACCCACTCAGAAGTGGTTTGATGTGGTCACAGACTGATGCTCTACTACATTTTTGCCTTTAAAAGAGCATGATACAATTTACCTCTTCTTATGCCTTTTTGAATAACTGAAAGTCAGCAAAACGTATTGATATATGGTATTCCTTTACCCATCGCTGTTGAAATCTTGGCTCCTTGAGGATTTGCCAAAGTGTACTGGATCGTCTCAGTACTTCTTAAGAGTACAAGAAACCTCAGTAGTCCTTGAAAGGTCTTTAAATATGGCTCCGTGGCAGAGTCACCTGCAAAGCTTTATATATATATATTCTCTGTTCTCATCTTCCAGAATCAGAATCAGATTTCGAAATCCCTTTAAGAAGGGAATGGTGGGCATTTGCTCAGACCCGGGGCTGAGAGCTCAGGGTGCCTCCCGTGACCCACAGTGTCCCCTCGCTCCCCCTGTGACCCTGATGGCTTTAACCCCGCAGGACATGTATGCTTGCTAGCTATCCTGGCCTGTTTCCCTCTCGCAGCCTTACAGCCTGCCTTCCGCCATGGCTCCTCACTCTGCCAGTGAGGTGGTCACAGTGGGCAGGGGCTGGGTGGGTGGGTGCAATAGGGACGAGTGTGAGCGACAGGGTCTGGCCTGTGGTGCTTCAAGAAACAGGTGTCAGAAGCATCTTGTGTGGGTAATCTGACCAGTCCAAGAGACCAGAGGAATCCAGGTGACTCTACAGTGAAGACCCCCTTTGACAAATAAGTAGCTTGGAGGAAGCAAAGTTGGGTGCATTAATTAGAGAAAATAGGAAACTTCCAAAAATCATCAATATTCTCCAAGAGGTATAAGAATAATGGTGTATCTATAAAAGAAGAATGATAGGCTGTTTTTAAGAAGAGGAACTTAGTGAACAGAAAGTTGCTTTAGAAATTAAAAATATGATGACAGAAATAAAAATTAACAAAAAAGGGTGGATGATAAAGTTGAAGAAGTATGCCAGAAAACAGAGCATAAAACACGAATCTAAAAATGAAAAAGAAAATATCAAAAAAAATTAGGGGTCCAGTCCAGGGTATCCAACACCTGAATAATTGGAGAAAATAGACAGGAGGGAATCATTAAAGTAATAGTCATTAAACTACACTATTTCCAGCTGTGAATGATGTGAATTTCAAGATGAATAGGGTCCATTAAATGCCCGTAACATTTAATGAAAATAGACTGACAAAACTTACTTATTGCAAAATTTCAGAAGAGTGGGTTCAAAGAAAAATACTACAAAAGGAAACGGCTTTATTGCAATGGACCCAAATCACAGTGGCATTAGGTATTTCAACAGTGACATCAGAAGGGAGACAGCAGTGGGGTAGTGGCTTGATGGTTCAGATTTCAGACTATTCTTCTGGGGTGCCTGGCTGGCTCAGTTGATAGAGCATGTGACTCTTGACCTCAGGATTGTGAGTTCAAGCCCCACTGTGGGTGTAGAGCTTACTTAAAAATAAATAAAATTATTCTCTCAACCTAGTATGCTATACAAAGTATCAAGTAAACCTGAGGGGAAAATAATTATTTTCAGATGTTCAAGGAGTTGAAAATTATGCCCGCCCTAGCATCCTTTCTCAGGAAGCTACTCAAGGATGTACTCCGCTAGAACTCGGGTATAAACCAAGGCAGAGAAGACAAAGAAACCAGGTAACAGAGACTAGCCCAGGAGAGAGATGCAAGAGATTTTCAGAACAATGTTGAAAAGAGTCCCAGGATGACAGTTATGCATCAGGTCGGGACAGTAATCCACTGGTCCAATGATTAGAGCAGGTCAGAAGTTGCCAGGAGAGATTTCCAAGAGAGGAAATTGTTAGGTAGAACACCTAATGTGTTTGAGCAGATTTCCAAGATGGGAAAAGAGTTTGGCATTGAATTAGCAGTAACTACAAAGAAAACTAAATGAAGGAAAACAAGCCAGTAAACAAAGGAACTAGATCATCACTAACACCAGGAAAAACAAATTATTGTGCAGGGGGAAGAAAAGTATTCATAGTAAACGTGATGGCTCAGGTCACAATCATAATATTTAAACATTAATGTTGGTATAATTAAAAAAGAAAAACACCTCTTTAAGTGAGCCTGCTGTAACCAAGCAAGCTCCTTCCAGGATTAGCATCCTAGAAAGGGCTTTT